CTAGGGCCTAGGGTTTTGGGCTTCGGGTTTAGGGCTTCGGCTTTAGGGTTTTGGGCTTCGGGTTCAGGGTCTACATAGGGTCGAAAGCTTGTTTCTGTGAGGTTTCAGGCTTTGCATATGGCCCCCCGACCCTTCCCCTAAACCCCTAAAGACGAGAGCTCGGCCCCGGGCAGTTTGGGCTTCCGTGGAGGTGCCCTTGTTCTTGCAAGAGAGATAGACCTCGGACAGCGGGACGCAGAAGCATCGTGTTGCAAGTCGACGAGAGATCGGAATTCATAACTTCGCGGCGACTTTGGCATCAAGGCTTGGAGTCAGGATGTGCGGATCTGGGATCGGCTTTTCTTGCGAGCTGAGCACAACAACGTCTGCTATACACCTGCAAGTCCACAGCCCGAAAGACTCGCTTTTGCCGCAATGTAGTAAAGAAAGACACTGAATTGATTCGGCACTACACCTGCTGAAATTATACTGCGCATGCCTGTGCTACTCCTTACAGCTACTGCTGCGCTGCTGCTACTCAGGCCACAGCCACTGCTGTCGCGGCGGCTGCTGCTACCCTGCTACCAGCTACCGCCTACGACGGTTGGCTTTGTGCGAGCACTTTCCCCCACCAGAACTGCGACGACTAGGACGATGACGACGACAAATGCTGCCATGACCCCACAAGTCTCAATTGCTGGTGAAAAGCTGACCATCTCTGAGCCGAAACCTTCCCAAGGCCGTCAATCTCAACCTTAACCGGCCTACACCCCGAACGTCTGCGAATCCTTGCAGCATTGCAAGCTTCGAACCCTTGAGCCTTCCGGCTTTTTTCGGGTGGAAGCCATAACTGGTCAAACGTTGACAATCCACGCGTGCCAGCAAAAGTAGTGCAGATATGCCTGTGAAAATGACTTTCAGGAACCATGTCAGCATTGAAGCTTAAGGCGTCGCATGTGTTCCCTACATTTTGCCGACGGGCATGGATTCAGAGCCCTCTTCTTCCGTCAACATAATCCTGGTTTCCCAAAACCCCTAGCACTGTCTTGACTTTTGCTGGCAGGCGTGGGTTCAGAGCCCGCTTTTCAAACAAACTTAGCGGCACCAGAACGAAATCAGCCTCCCCGTTAACCCCCACCTTCCCAAAGGAAAGTCCGATCCTTGAAACGCCTAGAATCCAATGCGAAAGCCTCGAAACCGGAAGACCTGCAGCAAAGCACACACGGTAACCCTAACTTCCGAAACGCCCTGAGTGACAGGCTCTGTAGCACACCAGCCATGTAAGGGACAAGAAAAGGCCTCGGCAATTCGTATTGGCGAGAGGAAGCACATGTCAAGTTGCTAGTACCATTGTTACATTGCTCGCGCAAGTGGAGCGTGATGAGCTTCAAACCTACTGTTGCTGTCACCACTATCACTGCCACACAACAACTGCCACTGCCGCTACGAAGACGATCACGATGACGACTACTACGTCGTCCTCTGCCACCACAATCAAGGAGTTTTGCTTTGTACCCTTAGGGTTTGTATCCTTGGGTTTGGGTGCCCAAACCATGGAATATTGCCCTTAATAGGGGTATTTGGGATCCCAAACCTTGGGTTACAAACGTTTAGGGTGCAAACTTAAAGTCCTTGAGACAACGATGATCACTACGACCACTGACTACCAGACGTATCAGATCAAGGTCAACAACAAAAACACTGCTTCGGCTTGGGGGATCTTGGGAGTTGGGGCTTGTCTGCATGTGCAATGTGTTCGTACTTCTCGACCGTTTGCGCAGGGCCTCTTGGATTGGGTCAGTTTGGGCATGCTTTGGGTTGTGGAGACGGCGGAAGGACACAAACGTTTAAGTTCATCACGTTTCGGTAGTTGTCCACAATCGCCGAAAGCCTAAACATTAAACCCTAAACCAAACCCTAAACCCCTTACCCTGAATCCTAAACCCTAGGCCGCAACAAGGATTGCTGGCTGGGGCTCCTAACATCACCGGGAAAAGCTGCAGACGAGAGAAACCGCAATTGTATATCATAATATAGTAATACTATTGGGGGGGCCCCTTACCATATCTGTTGTATACTATACCCCCAAACCCGATTCTATTTACTGTCGAATTAATGGGTCCTGTGACATGCAAAATAATTCAAGCTCTCACCTACTACTGGCTAAAAATAGCAAAACACAGACTCGGTGATTGCTGTGTGAGCACGCTGCCTTAAATCCGAAACGCCGAACCCTAAACCCTCATACTGAACCTCAGACTCCAATCAAACCTTGTGAGCCGTAAAGCATATACTCATATTCACCCAAAGCCCTCAGAATCAGGCTGACATTTCAAAACTGAAGGTTTCGGAAGCCTGTGCAAAACCCAACTTCAGACGGAAAAAAGGCTGACCCCTCGAAATGTAGGGACACAACTGGTCTTCAGAGCTCCACACCCAACAGCGTCGAGCTGGCATAGGCGAGGAGGTAGTTGGAATACCTCAGAGACACCTGGCTGCGACCCGGGGATTCCTTAGCATTAGAGTTTGACTTAGCATTAGAGTTTAGGGTTTCAGGCGTATTCAAACTTCCTTACTTCGAAGTAGTACGAGTGTTCAACTTCTCTAAATTCAGATACCTTCTGTCTGGGCTCCCCATAAGGCACTCTTGAATAGATCCTTGTAACCTACTGCAAGTCCGAAACTGCCCTAAACCCTAAACTACACAGCATCCTTATAGGAGTGAGATTCAGGGTTGAGTTTGGGGTTTTGAGCGGTTTTAATTAACTAGGGTAGTATAGGAGCCTGTAAGCATCAAGTCAAGCTTCGGGTGAAACCTGAGGCCTATTGGGAGATTGTGTTCATCGGTACTCTTTGCATGAGAACTCAGGAGTATTAGAGGTTTGGGACTTTCCGCTACCGTGCTTGCTTGAACCGGGCATCTACTACGGCTCAGCGCTTGGTGCGTATGGGTTAGGCCTCTGGAGCCATGTTGGCGCAGCAGTCTTCTGAAACTTCAGTGGTTATTACCTCTCTAGGCGCTGCAAAATAGTATCAGATACTATAACATACTGTAAGGCACTGTCATATACGAGAATGTGGGTCCTTCGTAGACATGCTCCTAAGGCGCTACGTGACTTCCTATTTCTGAGTAGGGAATTGGGGAATGCCATTGGAACGAATTCCTTGCGTGGCTTTTCACGGCCGATGTTCAACAATGCCAGGGGTGTCTTCCGGCCGGTTGCCGAAGTAGTCCGGCGGGCCATCCTCCGGAGTCTCGTCGGAGTCAGTCTCCGCGAGGGGCCCAGGTGAGGAAGAAGATAGCCCAGAGACTCCAATACCCCGTAATTAAGGAATATACTTTAAATCATATGAGGGATCCCACTATAATTTAAGGTATATTCCTTAATTAAGGGATATTGGAGTCTCTGGGAGGGGCGCGGACCTCCATGCCGAAGAGGTCGTCGGCCGCCGCTGCTCGCTCGGGCGAATCCTCCTGTAGCCGGTCGGTGTGGCGCCGGGTTTAGGGTTTAGGGTTGAGGGTTTGTTTAGGGCCGGGCAATGCAGTACATCAGGCTGAGCGCCCTGGTGTCCGCGTAACTGGTGGAGGGGGCGGCGAGGAGGAACTCGCCCCAAGCGCGATGCCACCCAGTGGTGACCAACGGGACGACGAACCTGAGATTTTGTCCATCCACGGTAGCACCAGGGTTTGGTGTTTGGGTGTCACCTCAACAGCAAAACCTACCCTTCCTTTGCAACTAGGATAATAAGGTAGTCATAATAAAGAACCCCCAAAACATATAGGTTGTAGGGTTTAGGTTGGTTCTAGGGCAACGGCCCTGAACCCTACCATAATCCACGAACGCTCGCGGGCGGCTTGATGCAAGGATGTCCGGAAACTCTGGGAATAAAATAGGGGCCTTAAAAATTAGAATAGGGTTTTGGGGCCATTATACTATGGTGTTTCATAGGCCCTACGCCGTCTCTAAACCCCAATTCCGCCCTAGGCCCTGAACCCTGAACCCTACACCCTGAAACTGAAGTCTAAGATCTGCAAAACCTCGCAAGGGCTCTGTCAAGCAAGGCAGCTTCAGGTCTCAGACTTTCGTTGAAGTTTTTCGGGTATGCTTACCGGAATATGATTACCGTACTGGGCCTAATTAAAGAGTAGGGTTCTATGGGAGCTCTCTAAACCAATTTATGCGCTTGCTTGCTGTGCAACGGCGGCTCACAAGCAAGCGACCCTGAACCTGGAACTCCGTACGACTGCATCCAGGATCTGATGAGTTAACCCTAAACCCTGAACCCTAAACCCTAAACCCTGAACCCTAAACCCTAAACCCGAAACCCTGAATCCTAAATAACCCGAAACCCTGAACCCTAAACCGTAAACCCGATCTGATGAAGAAGTCATGCACGGCGGGACAGACGGCAGCGAGGCCAGAAGAATTCCCAAGTAGGCCTCAGACGACACTCAAACCGAAGCCTCCAAAATCCAGGTATGGGGATAGCCTGAACCCTAAACCCTAAACCCGTAGACCTAAACCCCCAGAGCCCTAAAGCCCTAATAGCCTAAACCCTAAACCCCTAAACCCAGAGAACTCTACTCTTCGTGCATGGGAGTTCTTTCCTAAACCCCTAGAGCCCTAAACCCTAAACCCCTAAACCCTAAAACACTAAACCCCTAGAGCCCTAAACCCAAAACCTCCTAAAGCCTAAAAACCAGGCTTCTCTCCGAAAAGCCCGAAGGGAACTGAGGCAAGAGACAGTCGTGGTGGGGCATAGAAGTTTGGGGTTTAGGATTGGGGAGACAGTCGCGGTGGTGGTGGCTGTGGTGGTGGCGGTGGCGATGGCGGCGGTGGTGGTCGTCGTCGCTGCTGCTGTCGCGTTGTCGTACTAGTACTGGTTGCGCGCACTTACTACAAAAAGCATCAGAATATAAGGGCCTTAATAATAAGTAGAATAGGGTTTCGGGCCCAAAATACTTTAAATATAATCAGGAACTCCCAACATAGTATTGGTATTTATTACGGCCCCTAGATTCAGTCATGAGACCCTACACCACAAACTTCATATGCCCTACATCCGCAATGCCGGCAGGAGGCATTGGACACCGCCAGCTCAATCAGCAAAATGATGAAGGGGATGGCCAACGGAATGAGCGCCTCCACTCCAAGAGCAGGAGTCAGGGTTGAATGCGCAGGGTTCTCCCCTAAACCCTAAACTTTAAACACCAAACCCTAAACCCTAAACCCCTAAACCCCTAAACCCCTAACCCCTAAAAACCCTAAACCCCGAAAGATCTTAGCATTATGCGCGAGGACCTTATTTACTGCAGAAGCAGCCGCTCGCGCTTCGGATTATAGCTGAACCCGACCTCCACCACGAAGGTAGGTCAACAATAGCCCGACACCTATAAAATGCAATTATTCTACCCGGCTACGACCTAAACTCGTAAAGCTGGAGGAGACAAAGGGGCTTTGAAGGGATGGGCATCTTGCCATAGTCCACAAGTCAAGGAATCACAGAAAGACAGGGATCTGTTGGAAGATGAGCCTACCACCGAAAGCCACCAAACGGCAAAGATGTGTCTCAAACCATCAAAAATCCTGATGCTCGATGCAGCATAGAGCTTGAATGGCCAGTAACCTACGGGTTCAGTAACCTAGCCCAAAACATCCCAAAACAAAGGTTGACCTTTTTTCGGATGCGAAGCCCTGCCGGGTATGCGCACATCGGCCAAAAGGCGCAACTTCTGGTCATAATGAGATCCCCAAAAACGTCAACCCTAAACCCCTAAACATTCCCCAAACCCCAATAAGGCCCCCAAGCCCGAAGTCCTAAACCTCACAAACCCGGAGCCATCCACCCCCCATGTCCCCAGAGACTCCAATATCCCTTAATTGAGGAAAACCCTTAAATCATATTAGAGATCCTACTATAATTTAAAGAAACTTCCTCACTAAGGGATACTGGAATCTCTGGGTCCGTGCCTTAAACCATTAAACAGACCCCAAACCCCAATAAGGCCCCAAAGTCCTAAACCTCACAAACCCGGAGCCATCCACCCCGTTAGGTCCGTGCCTTGGGAATGTTAGGGATCCTACTATAATCTAAAGAAACTTCCTCACTAAGGGATACCGGAATCCCCTAAACCCTAAACCCTAAATCTCTGAGGTCCATGCCTTGGGAATGTTAGGGATCCTACTATAATTTAAAGAAACTTCAATCCCCTAAACCCTGAACCCTAAACCCTAAACCCTAAATCTCTGAGCCCATGCCTTGGGAATGTTGTCGATTTCCTGACGAATGTTCACCTGCCGGGCGACCCTGGGAACTCTCGGCTTCTTGGTTAGGGTTCAGGGTTTAGGGTTTAGGGTTCAGGGTTTAGGGTTTAGGGTTTAGGGTTCAGGGTTTAGGGTTTAGGGTTTAGGGTTTAGGGTTTAGGGTTTTTTGGTTCAGGGTTTAGGGTTTAGGGTTTAGGGTTCAGGGTTTAGGGTTTAGGGTTTAGGGTTTAAGGTTTAGGGTTTACGGTTTAGGGTTCAGGGTTTTTTGGTTTAGGGTTTAGGGTTTAGGGTTCAGGGTTTAGGGTTTAGGGTTTTTTGGTTCAGGGTTTAGGGTTAAGGGTTTCGGGGGAGCTTGGAGTTCAGGCTTCACGGTTTAGTTGTTTTTCTTGAGCTCCTTTTCTCTAAGCCAAGGGTTTGGGGTTTAGGGTTTCGGGGGAGCATAGAGTTCAGGGTTCAGGGTGTAAGGTCTGGCGTTCAGGCTTTAGGGTTCAGGGCTTTTTGGTTACCTCGATCAACCCGAACCCGTGTTGGTCTTTGGGTTTGGAGAGGTCTAGGTGGTTCACGGGTAGGGCCTATATGGATTTTCATCGGGTCTGCTATTGGGGTGTTATGGAGTCTACAAGAGATTCTATGATCTGAAACAACACTTCTATGTGTTTGTAAGGGTCTTATAGGATTTGCTATGGCACTGCGACGTTATAAGGTTTGTTAGGGTTTTAGGGTCTAAAGCCTGGGGCTTGGGGATTGGGTTCCCGGAAAGTTATAGGAGTCAGGATTAGGGCCCTCAGGCCTCCGAGAATTGAAAATGTAGGGGCCGTTATAATTATAGAAAAGGGTTGGGGGGGGCATAGGGTTTAGGGTTTAGGGTTTGGGGTGTAGGGGTAATTATTGAGGTCCCCATAAATTTAGCAGCGAGGTCTTGAGAAACTTTGAGCGGTCCAGGTGTTCCCTCACGCTGGGCCTACCTGAGTCTCTTTTGCCTTGGAGATGTCGGGTTAAAGTACTGGGAGTGCAGTGCAAGCAATGTGTAATCCCAAAAGCAAGCCCGGATCGTCATAAACACATCAGTTCGACTCTGAAGGCGTAGCATTATACAGGGGCCCCCCTTAATAATGAGAACAGGGTTTTGGGTGCCATTATCCTGTAATTGCATTAAGGATCCCCCACAATAGTAGAGGTAATTATTTAAGCCCCTGTATTAAAAGACTGATGTTGACGAGGAAGGGATGCTGTGCACCGACGAACCAGGCGATTAGCTGCCAGCTTGAAGCCTGAGTCGAGCTTTAGGGTGGCCCATCCCGTGCTGGGAAGTTGGGCCGGGAAGCGCTGTGGGAGTAATCCGCCGAGGCCACAGGCCCAGGCGTTTTGGTGGTTACCTCAGGTACCCTCCTCCTGCAGCCGAAACGTTTGGTGACACCCTGTTTTTGCGCTCGTTTGCCACCCCCTTGCCCGGCCTCCCCTCATTTTCTTTGATTTGCGGGCCTACCCGCCCCCTCTCAGGCCTCCTCCCCCCTCTTTTTTTACTCCACCCCGTCCCCTCCTCCCCCCTTCCCCCCCCCCCCCCCCCTCCCCCTGATTTCCGTAAACCTCTAAAGGGGTAGCTCTAACAGGTACCTACAGCAATGGCTGCATGCTCATACATATACATTCCGCTGCCCATTGGCTCACAGTGGTTTTACCATATTGAGACAAGACAAGCTCTCCTTGCGTAGCAAGACAAAACAACTACTGTCCGTGTGCAGGGCGCTGCCCTTTGATCCTTAGGGAATAAACTGGTCATACACCTCCTAACAAGGAGCATTTCCTTGTGGGTGTATCGGCACAGTTTTCTGGTAGCGGAGCCCGGAAAGGGCCGCCCGCCTCCCAAAGTCCGCTACAGCGGTCGGCCTCGCCGAACGCTTAACCAAGCGGATAAGAGGCAGCACAATGTCGAGCTCGCATAGCGAAGCCGACGACAGTTCCCAATCCTCCGGGGGATATGAGAACGAAGAGACCTCCCAAGGTCCAGCCACTTATGTCGCACAGTCATATGCAACATCTGACCGCATGCTTGCATCATTAGGCATAACGCCCAAGATCGCGCCTGCCTATGATGGCACCACCTCGTGGTTTGAGTATGAACAGTTGATTGACGACTGGTGCGACATAACAACGCTGGATGACACCAAAAGAGGTCCGTCTCTCAAGACGAGGCTCTCCGGATTGGCCGCAGTACAAAAGGAATCACTGAACCGAGAAAGGCTTGCAGCCCCAGATGGAGTAGATTACTTCAAGAAGAAGATGCGTCCATTTTTCGTGAAAGGAGAACAGTACGTTTTCCTGTGGCGTTTCCTCGGCCTATTCAAGGCATGGAAGGGCAACCAAGACTTTGTGACTTGGATTGCCAAGTTTGAGATCGTGCTACAGCGCGTGAAAAACTCATGGATGGATCTCTTACCAGAGATAGCTCTGGAGGATGCCCATCCAGATTTCATGCAAGCTGTGCAGGCAGATCAAACCTTCTTGCGCCTACAGGATGCAACCGAGAGAGACACATACGCCGCACGTTTCTTCGAAACATGGAACAAGGAACGCCTTGACAATCATCGAAGAGCGTTTCCTCTGAACGATAATCTCCTAGCTCTCCTCTTCCTAGTGCAGTCCGACCTAAATGAGATGCAACGTGAGAGGTTGGTAACAGCATTGACCAACCAAGGTCACCGAATTGAGACCTACACGTACCCTGTGGTACGGCAGACCATGTTCGATCAGTTCTCAACGACCAGAACTGGTCTGCAGGATCCCAACATTCGGCACTCTTCTCACAAGAAGGACCGCCATGGAAGGAGAGACCAACGCCGCAAACGCGGAGGTCGAAACTTCCTCATCCTCGATCAGGGTGAATACGATGGAGTCGATGGATTCTGGCTCCAAGACGAAGACACCCTTGAGGAAGGCTTTCTTGCCGCCGAGGATGAAGAAGCTGTCTTCTGGACAGTTGATGACCATGAGGCCTTCGTTGCAAGGAGATTCAAAAAGGGAAGAAGACCAAGAATGCGTCCCGGATCACCGGGAAGAGCAAAGGGTGGCAAGCGAAAAGGACGTGGCCGTTTTAGGTCATACCGCGGAAAAGGGAGAGCCAACCAGGCAGAACATGATCCAACTGATTCCAGCTATTTCGGTAAAGGTAAAGGAAAGGAAAAAGGAAAAGGTGGAAAAGGCAAAGGAAAAGGAAAGGACAAAGGAGATAAAGGAAGCTCCTTCAAAGGCGCAAAGGCAAAAGGCAAAGGTAAGGATACAGCTAAGTCTGCCTCCTTACAAGGAGACCAAACTGGATCTCCACAGGCCTATGAGAGTTCCACCGCACCGAGCTGGGATTCATGGTATGAGGACAGTTATTATACTGACTCCAGTTGGAATTATGCCGCTTATGACGATCAAACGTCTTATACATACTATGCATCACAAGCCTCACGAAGAAAAACACGGAGAAAGAAGAGAAGAAATCAAGCAGGATCATCAGGTAGAGGCACAGATCCGAGCGCGCACCAAGAACCCGTGTTCAACTCATCAGTGAGTTACGTGCCCCAGGTCTTTGAACCATCCGAGGGGCAAGGTGTTGAAACTGCAACAGCGGTGTTTCCGTTGCAGCACACCGTCCTATCTGCTCTCACAGAGCGGATCAATCTTGATAAGAGCCCTACCTTTGTCATACTTGACTCAGGTTGTACTAGGGCTATGGGTTCCCGCTATGCGGTGAATAGGCTTATCAAGGCCGTGAAGCAACGTGCCCCAGGCATGATTGATTTCACTTTCTCACCTTCGAACACGAAGTTCTCTTTCGCAGATAGTGAAACAGCTCTTATCAAGGAGCGTGTAACTCTATGGTTCAACACAACTCCAAGAAGAGATACAACCATAGAAGTTCTGGATCAGGGGAGAGTTCCCATTTTGTTCTCCATCGAACAGATGAGGAATCTAAGAATGACCCTCGAGTGTAGTCCCACAGCTGACCTAGCAACGTGTGAAGCTTTCGGTTTGTATAAAACCCCTCTTCCGATTAGTACCAATAACCATTTGGTATTGGACCTTCTAGGCTTCACTTCCACTAGGAAGTATCTCCCTAAATCAGGTACGTCGTTCAGTGCGACAGAGACTGCTCTAGGAGCTAGGAAGCCAAAGGAAGAAGGAAGATCTTATACTAGGATCCCGGAAGGTCGCTGTCCAGCCTGCGCAGGACAGAAAAGGGCTCATACGTACCTCAAAGGTTGCGACAAGGCACCTGAGGGAGCAGCTGATCCACCACCGAAGGGCATTCCAGGTAAGAAGAAGCCTCTTCCATCTGATCCGGCAGAATCATCTGCCAAGAAACCTGATCCACCAGAACCATCTGGTGATGCTCCTGAGCCTTCCGAACCATCGGAACCATCATCAGGCTCTAGAGACAAACCTGCAGAATCATCTGCACCGCACGAACCTCCAGAAGAAGAAAGACTTGAGGTTCCACCTGCGAAGACAAAGACTCCAAAGGGTCTTAAAAACCTTCTGAAGAAAACCCGCAAATATGCGGTCAAACCTCCTGTTGAAGAGAAGTCTACAGTCCCAGGAGCTGATGACGGGACGGAGGTAAGACCACTTGAGTCAAGAGAATACCCGGCTCCTGGTACAGACTCACCTACAGGTGAAGAGACTGTCGCAGAACCATCGCCATCTCTTCCCATTGCTCTTCGCAGGATTCATGAGAAGCTTAAGGACCCTGTAGAACTCTATAAGCTTCACCTTAAGCACCGTCATATGAGTACGGATCAGTTCAAGCGACGCACGAAAGCCTTACAGATCCCAAAGGAGATATATGAGCTATATGACCAACTGGTCAAAAAGTGTTCAGCCTGTCAGGAACACGTGAGAGCTCCTTCAAGAGCGAAGATTTCCGGTTTAAGATCAGAGACTTTCGGTGATCTCACCTTCGTAGATCACGGTGAGCTTCCAATTCCCGGCAAGAATAGTCGCTTAATATTTCTTATTCTCTATGACGGAGCAACAAACCTGTT